GCAGGCAGCTGCTGCATAGGGAACTTAGGGAAGTGGTGAGCTAATAGGGGGCTGCTGGTCCACCCTGGTTCCAAGCCCCCCACCAGCTAGCTGCAACGGGCTGCTCTTCCTGCAAGCAGTAGACAAAGCAGGCAGCTGCCAAAAGATGTTAGAAGGGAGCATTACACAACTTTAAATGAGCATGTTCCCTAATTGATCAGCAACAACGTTAACCGGGATGACTTTAAGTGAGGAGTTACTGTATATCACAAAGTATTATGGATTTACTTTTAGTTTAAAATAATTCCATACATTTAACTTTTGTTACCAATACAATTTTGAAAATGCTTTTGGATTTGGAGATAAAGCATGAGTGTACTTTATTGGGAGGAAAAATGTGACAGACTGTGACAAAATTCTTAAAATTGGCTTTTATTCAGAAAGGAGGGCTGTGAAAGGACTGAGATATAATCCCTGTCTGGAAGTTTGTTCAAAACATTGCATTTCAGCAGAATGTCTCATTATCTACCATTTATTTGTTCTCTTGTTATTGATAATTTGCTTTTAAATTGAAAATGCCTCCTTTAAAAACCATTTAATCTCCCTGCATGAGTAGACAATTACATTTAAATTCTGTGGTTTTCCCTTTGTAAACAGTTACTGTGGAAATGACTAAGATGTTAGTAACCCAGATTTATGACTTCATTGTATTATCACTTAAGGATAAAACTACCATCATTATTATTTATAGAATGCTTTGAACATACTTTGTGCTTTAGAAATGCTTACAAATGCCAAGGACTCTGCCCTAAAGAAGTTACTGTGTAACTCAGACAGATACTGAAGATAATATGTGGCTATATCATACATGGAATGGTCAGTGTGATTCAGTTACAGAAGCACTGGAACTGGAGTCAGGACACCTGTTTAGGAGGCTCACTACCATGGACTATCTAGGCATACCTTGAGAGGCTTGAGATAAAATAATCCTTTCCCACCCGCTGTTGGGAGTGACAACAAGGCCCTCTTTGATACTTTCTGCATCTCATTTTGAGGGCTTGGCATTCATAGATTTTAAGGCCTGATCTCCTGACCACAGGCCGGAGAACTTCATCCAATAATTTCTGCATCAAGCATTATTCTCCGCTCTGCCACTAGTCTGTTGTGTGACGCCAGGCAAGTCACTTCTGTGTGTGCCTCTGATTCCCTGCCCAGGCTTTGTCTTGTGTTTAAGACAGGGACTCTCTCTTCTTACAGCACCTGGAGCCCTGATCTCAGTTGGGGCCTCTAGGTGCTACTGTAACACACAATTAATAACAACATTGAAAGACTTAACAAATGGATTGAACAATATTGATATACATAAAGTGCAAGGATGTTCTATGCAGAGGGGGCTATATGAAAGGGGGTATGAAGATAAGAATGGATGAAAATACTTTTTCTTTAAAATAATTAGCATTCATATAAAACACAAATGTATTATTATTGTAGGACTTCTGAAAGAAAAACTCTGCCATAGTTGATGACTATGCAGGCAGCTCTGATCCTGCAAACACTTAAGTGCATTCTTAACTTAACACAGTAGTTCAGTTGGCCTCAGTGGGACTCCTCACACTTAAAGCACGTGCCAAACTGTTTGTAGGATTGAGGCCTTAAACTTTCTGATTTGTGAGTTCTGCTGTATTTGTACAATAGCGGTATGAGTAATCTTGTTAAATGAAATGTATTATGATAACTTACTAAATAACTTAGAAAAAGAACAGGAGTTCTTTTTTTGCGGATACAGACTAACACGGCTGCTACTATGAAACCTGATAAATAACTTAGCTTCTTTTATGGCCTCCATAACTATAATATCTGAGTGCCTCACAGTAATTTTTAATGTATTTATGCTTACAACACCCCTGTGAGGTAGGGAAGTACTGTTTCCCACAATTTACAGATGTATTACTGAGGCCGGGAGAGACAAAGACCTAGATCCTCAAATGTATTTAGGTACCTAACTCTCATTGAAACCAGTCTTGAAATCAATGGGAGTTATGCACTTAAATAGCTGTAAGGATCTGAGCCTACGTGACTTGCCCAAGAACACATACAGGATATCTGTGGCAGAGTAGAGAACTGAACCTGAGCGTCCTAAAAGTCAACCTAGCATCCTAACCACTGGACCATCCTTTATTACTAATTATTATTTATTACTGGTATTACCATAGTGTCAGGAGCCCTAGTGATGGAGCTAGCCACTGTACAAGCAACAAAAAGACAGCTCCTCTCCCAGAAAGTTTACTGTGTAAGTATAAGTAAAGAAATGACAGGTGTATACAGACAGATAGGGGAGAACAAAGAAATGAGATCATATTGGCCAGCAGGATAGTTTATTATACAGAACCTAAAGCTACTGACACTGAAGTCAAGAGCAAAACTCTAATTTCACTTCCATGGAAGCAGGATTGGCCCCATAGAACCTAATGACAAAGCTCTAAAAACTTCAATGGGACCAAGAATTTAGCTCATATTGCATGAGCATTTCTCATCAAATGGTAGTGTTGTGCACTGGCATTTACCTTGCAGTACCTATTTCAGTTTTGTCTTAGCATAAATATTCGTCCACATCACAAACCCATCAGAATAATCAGTAATAATTGATAAGAAGGGACGTGCAGAGGTAATATGGAAAATTAGTTACATTTAAGAGCCCCACTATGAAAAAAAACAAACTGGTGGAGCACAAAAGAAATGCTACTGCTATATTTGCATGTATACTAAAGCTTCTTTGGACGTCACCTTTCTTTTCCTCATGACCATAATTAATATATATTTGTTAGATGTCTTGTACTGTCCAGTCATAACTCTGGATTAACCACCATAAAATATTTTGCAGCACTTTAAAAAACAAACATAACACTATAGTTCCAGCTATGTTTCTCTTTTGCACCCATTAGATTCAGTATTTTGACTTTAGTGTGAGTTTTTGGGTACACAAGTAATGCAGGAACCTCACAGACCTGATCTGCAACTGGATGCACCTGAAATCAATAAGGCTCTGCACAAGTGCTGGGATTTGCCTGCATAGATCAAGTTACAAGGTCAGGCCATACATTTTTAGAGAGCATATTTTAGTTATTTGGTACTCTGATCCTGAAAATGCACAGCTGAATAACTTTACAGATGTAAGTAGTCCCATTGAGTTAAAAAATGAGCCTTCAGATCATTAATTTGCCCCTGCTGCATGTCTGGCAGAAATAAATTAATTATTTCACACCTAGGAAATTGGATAAAATGCCTCAATTCTGCCAGCAGTTGTGCACTTGAATAAATGTAGACCCATGCCTAGTTCCATTGAGTTCAGTGTTTACAGAATCAGGCCTATAATTTGGTCTTAAAGTAGCAGAAGGAACAGGTTATGTGCTGAATTGTTTACTAAGGCTCCAGTCCTGCAAATAAATAGGCATGTGTTTAACTTCACCTGTATGAGTAATCCCACTACAATCAATGGGACTACTTTACAGGGATAAATTTGGATATATGCCTTGATGACTGCAGTACTGGATCACAAGTATTTACTTTTGACTTACTAGTGTAAGTGCTCAAAGTTCCCAGTAATTCTTTGCTGCTAACTAATTTTTAAAAAAGTCTTAGCTCTACTCCTGTTTCTGCACAGATAAAAAAAATATAGAGAGGGAGAGTATTCATATATTTTTATCTGGTGTGGTTTTAAATGATTGTATTTTTTAAATTAGATCACATGGGACCTTCAAAATGTTAACTATTTTTCATTTTAATCTATATATTTAAATACAATGGGAATTGTCATTATATAAATCATCCCCAACCTCTCATAGGTGCCTATTATTAAACCATAACAACACTAATTTGCTAGAATCACACAGTGTGCAACACACAAACATTGGATAATTATACCAATTAAAACCTAACCTATTAAAACTGATAAATCACTATTTTTGACAGGTCCTGATGTTGTTTATTTGTCAAACTTTCTCGGAACTAGCTGCTGTCAGACCTGTTTAACAATAATTCATGGAGCTGGGGATGCTGCAATACCTCTTCTCATTAGTTCAGCATTAGAATTCCTCTAAGACTTGTTTTCCGAGGGAGGGAGGGAAATAGGCAAAGATCTCTCAGTATTGCCAAAGGCATCATTTTAATCAGCAACTTCCTAACTGTCACTTAAGTATTATTATTTGTCAGACAGGCAGCAGTTTCAAACCCTGCCTAGTTTTGCTATGGGAGCCCCGGTTTTAGGTTGGCTTTTTATCGAGCCCGCTTGTGACAACCCTTTGCAGGAAAAGTTGTAGCCATCTCTCTAGTGTAATAAACCAGCAGCTGTGCCATCTCCTAGGCTAGTATCCATTTTACACTCGCTCCCTCCTCTCGCCAAATGGTTTCTCTGCGTGATGGCAAGTAATGTGCTTCTGAACAGAGTGGAGTGGAGTGTCCCTGCCCCCCACCCCACGGCCTCCCAGAGCCCCTGGGCCCTGTGGGGCTAGTAGAGGGTCCCTCGATGGCTGAGCAGAGAGAGCCAGAGCAGAGCGCCGGGCGCCTGCATGCACCTGCCAATCCCGAGGTGCAGGCGTAACGGCGCGTGGAGGAGGGTGGGATGCTGGGCAGGGAGACCCGCTCGCCCCCTCCCAACGCCGGCCTCTTTGCTCTTGTTCGCCAGGGCTCTCCTCGCCGCGGCTGCTCGCGTGCAGCGCGGCTCGTGCAGCCGCCTGCTTCGCCCACCCCCGCGGCGGGCTTGAAGGTCACCTCGCTCCCTCTCCGGAGCCACTTTGCAGCGCTGGCTGGGGAGCAGCCGCGCCTCCCCCTGCTGCCTTGAGGCGAACCCGGCAACCCAAAGTCACCTGGCTCGAGTGGCTCCCGGGAAATCCCCCGACGCGGGGCTCGCCAGCTGGGGAGTGGGGTTCTCTGTAAGCTCTCCAGGCTCCTACGCAGGAGGGGGGAGTTCCTCTGCGAGCTCCAGGCTCCTGTGTGAGGGAACCTCGTGCAAGCTCGAGGCTCACCTAACGGGGAACCTCGCCGCGAGCTGCGCCAGGCTCCTGTTGCGAGCGCCAGCCTCCTCTCCAGGGATGGCTCGGCCAGCGTGAGGCGCGCGCTGGGGAGCTCGCCGCCAGCTGCAGGTTTCGCCTGCGAGCTCCCAGCTAGGGGACCGCTGCACAAGGTGCTCTCTCGACTGCCCTTGCAAGCTCCTCCTCACCACCAGCTGCCCCGGACTCTCCTCGCGAGCTTGGGACTCCTCGTCAGGAATTTCTCTGCCAGCGTGAGGCTCGCACCCTGGACGGGCGCTTTGCCCGCTCGCGTTTGGCTGCAGCCCAAGTGATACTTGTGAGGGAGGAGGAGGAAGGCAGCGGGGCTCGGAGAGGGGAACTCAGGATGCCCTGGTGAAGGCGGGAGAGAGCCGCCGCGTCCTTCCTGAGGGGAAGGGGCTCCGGGGGCCGGCAAGCGTCCCAGCTGCCCCTGGGCTCTCTCTACGCTGCCCGTGCCCAGGGGGTGCGAACTCTTTGCTTCTGAGCCGCTGCTGGACGGAGCGGCAGAGACACAATCCCCTTCAGCCTCCTACTTCTCTTTATGGTGAGTTGAGCCTTTGGTTTGGAGGAGGGTGGTAGGGCGAAGGTGCCAGCCCCTGGTGCGCTGGGAAGCCCCGCTAGTTGGTCCTAGCAGCTCAGAGAGTTGTTTTGCTTTGCTGGGGGGTGGGAAATTGCTAAAGGAGGCCCCTGCGTTTTTAATCTGAAGCCATGCTCTCAAAGTGGCACTTCAGGGCAGGACCTTGTGGAGAATGTAGGGCTAGAGTCCCCTCCAGGTGCTCCCGCTCTGCCTTGGAAAGCCAAGTGCTGCAACAAATGGAAGGGATTTGTGTGCTCTGAAGTGTATGCTAAGTCAAATGCCGGTTTCCCTTCTTCTCCGTGTCCCACTCATGCATCCCATTTGCAATGATATCATGCTAGTATCTCCATTGCTGCTGGGGGGGTCTGTGTTGTGCCTGTTTGACAGTGTATATGCTGGTAAGTATTTGGTGTAGAAAAGTTACTGAAACATGGTTCAGGTAACAAGTTCCAAAATGTTTTTCATAGGCAGGTGTGTTCAAAGGAGAGGGAGGCAGATGCATACCCAGGCTGGAGACCTGGATTGGGTGAAACGGGGATCATGCCAATGAGATAAATGTATATGTGGAGGAAACTAAGGGAGTTAAGTGTGGGATGAGAAGGAGAGCAAAGCACATCACTGAATAACATCATTCACTTTTTTTAAATAAAGCAATCTATTAACACAGAGCATAATCCTAAATGCATGCTAATGTTTACCTAGCTTCTAGCTGTAGTTACAGGGGAGCTGAGCAAAAGTGGTGTGACTACAGCTAGCTTTTCTTATGAAAAATATCAGACAATATTACAGTGAAGGGAAGCTTCAGGCACTGAACCTATGACAGTTCAAAAAATGCAAAAATCCTCAAATCTCCTTTGAAATGAATTACTGATTTAAAGTCTGATTCTTCCAAATGATTCAAATTTGTGAAGTGCAAAAGATTTTGTGAAAGCCTGCAACTTGTCATTTAACTGGTCCAGTTTATGAATATGGCAAAGTATGTCATTAGAATCTTATTAAGAAGCAGCAATTTAGTGATGACTAATTTAAACTGTAACAAAAACTGCTCATTCAAGGTAAATTGAGTTATAAAATGTAATAGACATAGAGGACAATGTCCTGAGAACTGAAGACTTTTCTTTTTAAATCTTGCCCTGGTGTACAGCTACAGGAATGGAAGATATTTAATGTTATTTACATTATTTAGGTGTAACAAAGGGTAAACAATTTTTGTACTATATTTAAAAGCAAGAACAAGATTTGTTGCTTTGGTAATAAAGACTGATAATACCAGTGTATGTCTGGAAAGAGTTTTAAAGCACCATGCTTCCTAAATATATTATCCCATAATAATTAACTCACAATCTAAAGTGAAGATGCTCTTGTTTTCATAAAATAAATATGATTTTGCAGGTTTGGAAATATGGTCCATTAAGGAGCTGTGAAAGTGTATTGCAAAGGTTAGGTAGAAACATTTTCAGTGTATGCTTCTCATAAGACACTGAATTTAACTTTAGCAAAGTGTATTAGATCACAGAAGAGAGCCCTTTAATTAGAACTATGGCAAACAAATTAGGACAGCTCAAATTATGGTATTTCTACGTTTATTTAGTATTTCCCTTTACTTGGATGATTTGAAGTACTGATTTCTTGGGATACACTTTTATATTTAGTGTTTCTAATTACAGTCCCAGTCAGATGTCTAGCTGAAGACAGTGTCTTGTACAGGATTCAAAGGCTGGATAACAAGTTTCCTTTAAAATTTATTTATTCTGCTAAATACATCTGACAAGGGGTTTTGGTATTTTCTGAAATGAGGGCTGTATTTATGCACCTTGCATTCCTTTTTAAGCTAAAATTTAACTTGTTAGCAACAATACAGCTGACAAGTTCTGTGGTCAAATTCACAATATGTTGATAATTTTGATAATGCTTGTAACCATGGCACTTGCGGTCACTTGGTAATGGGGACATTTTTGTTTTCAGAAGCAGGTATCCTTAAGTACCAGAAATACTTGCAGAAGTCAGGTGTCACTGAGCAGACTGAATTCACTAATTCTTGGATTCATAAAATATGTACTTCTAGCAAAGAGTGCAAATGTAGAAATACAGGGGTAGATCCTCAGCTGGTGTAAATGGTTATAGCTCCAGTAAAGGACCTGTGATAATTCACAGCAGCTGAGGAGCTGCACCACAGTATGTATATTTAATTTTGTATTGACCTGCACTAACTCAAACTGGAAAGTAGTGAGGTTACCTCCTGGGGAAAGCACTAAAGCAGTGGCTGCTGATGTTGTTTTGGAGATCCTCATCTCCATGCATCATGGCCCAACACAGTGGCATTTCTAACTTGTGCCCTGTCCATTCCCTTCTCTCCTCTGTCCTTTTCTGTTTTCTCTATCCCATTTCCCCACTTGTTTCTTGCCGCTGTTCCATCCCTTGTTCTCCACAGACTTTTTCCCTTCCCCTCCGTTACTGGCCCTCTTGTCTCTCCTTCAGCCTGACAAGGATTCTCCATTTCCTGTCAGAGCCCACAGCTATTGCCATTGCTGCCAGCCACATCTTTTTTTGTCCCTTCCCCAGCTACCTAGTACACAACACTGCTACCAGAAGCAGCAGGCAGTGCTACAGTGAGTATTGCTTTGTAATACCACTTGGGGAGAAGAGGCTAGGAGCTTCACACTTCAAAGGTCTTTCTGTGCCTACTTCTCCCCTGGGGGAGTTTAGTGCCTTCCCCAGATTAGGAACACAGCCCTAAAGGGATTTGGTGTACACATTTATAATGTAAACCATGTCCTTTGTACATACTGGGTGTAGCTTTCTTTAAAGTACAACACAGTAGACACAGATTTATGCTTAATGTGGTAGAAAAGGTGAATATCAATTTACAAGTGTCCTTTTTCATTTAAAACAAACAAACAACCTGTTAAATAAACCAAGAAGATCAAAAAGAATCTGCTCGGTTCAACTGATCACCAGAGAAGTTCATACACCATCTTGAGAAGGTTTATTGCTAAAGCCTTTTCTTCAGATTAGCTTTAGAGGAAGCCTGGGATTTCCACAATTTAAACCTGGTGTTGGTAGATATGTTAAGGTGCAGTGGGGATTATAAGACTGACTCAAAGAAAGGTGAAAATATGTACAACTTTGTAGATGGAGGACTGTTTTTTTTAATACACTATAAGTAGATATTTTCAAATGGACTTATTTTCACTGCAAAAGTATGTGGCATGGTGTCGATCTGTTTGTGATTTGTATACAGCATACATTGCTGATTGCTAGTGCATGTTACTCGGCACTTATTTATTTGGGGGGAAATAAAGACACATCACTGTATATCTTTGAGTTTTCCCATTGTGGCCTGGCAGTAAGTGCACATGTGAACTGAATAGGCGTTCCAGTAAATATTCATGCTTCTCTCTAAATGTGGGAACTTAAAATTTGACACAGTAGATGAGACCATTGATCCATCCAGTCAGGGACTGCCCCTTAGCTAATGATCCTGTTGCAGCAACCCCATCCTTCCTAAGGAAGCCTGGTATTTGGGCAGTGTTGCAGTCAGAGGCTGAGGATTGTGGTGATGTTGGTAGCAGTGTGCATGTGTATGACTGGGAACACATTTTTGATTTTCACGTGCAGTCAATCTTCCGATTCAAGACATAAAAAAAGTTGAGTAAATCCACCCCGATGTAATTTCAGTTACACCAGACTGGCTCCATTTGCATATTACTGTAGACTCTGATCCTGCAAGCTCTTCATGTATGACACTCCCAATGACGTTAGGAGTCCAACATCTGAATGGCTTGAAGGATTGAGCCCTTCCTTAGCACAATTATGAATGTTACTTGTGGTTGCAACTGGGCTAATAGTGGGGAAATTATTCACATTCATCTTGGTGAATCATACATGAAAATAAGACTTAAGTGGGATTTAACTGGAGTATCAGCCTTGTTCTGGCCCTCTGCAGAGGTAAATTTCACTCTAGAAGAATCATAGCCCAAATGAGTTGTTCAGGAACCACTACTGCTGGGAAAGGTTAGTTTGTCCAAACCAGGGAAAGATAAAAGGGCTAAACTTGGAGAAATAATTAACAGTAACTAATACATCATGCTTTAGCCTTTAAACGATGCAGCCGATTTTCAAATCCAGCCACAGTATTTTGCATGGTGACCTCCTGCAGTACTAAATTCCCAAGTATGAATTAAATAGTCTGTTTTCTTTTGCGCTACATTTTCTGTCCTCTTATATTTCAGTGAGTCTCCACCTGTTCTCTCAGGCGCTGGTGCTGATCAGTGTGTGCAGACCCATGCTTGAGGAACTTAACTGACTTCAGTGGGGGCACTGGGCATTGACCAGGGTCTGCCTGTGTGGATTCAGTTGTAAAATGCAGGCCTTCATCCTGGGTCAGGAGAGAAAGAAATGACTGATAATTATGAAAGGCAGAATACCTTAAAGGGACACAGTTAACCAGAGAACCATGTTTGTCTGAAAATTTAGTACCTACTGTAGTTGCAATTAACCACTAATATTACTATAGCTGAAAGAAGTTT